AATCTTCTAGCGAAGCATAATACCAGGATGAGGACAGCAGTTTACCAAAATAGATTAGCCTTGGATTATCTTTTGGCAGTAGAGGGAGGTGTATGTGGGAAGTTTAACCTGAGCAATTGCTGTCTTCAAATAGATGACGAAGGGCAAGCAATAGCTGAGCTTACTAGCCATATGGTTAAACTAGCGCATGTGCCTACTCAGGTATGGAAAGGGTACAATCCAAGTAGTTGGTTTGGTAGCTGGTATGAGTGGTTTGGAGGGCTTAAGGCAGTGGTAGGTGGAGTCCTACTGATTTTAATGTTGTGTCTACTCCTGCCGTGTCTTATACCCTTAGTAGTTAGGTCTGTGCAAAGCCTGATAGAAAATATAGCAGAGAGGAAGGCTGCTGCACAGATAATGGCAATTTATAAATATAAGGCTCTAGATCAGGGAGAACCAATGCAGGAAGACGAGTGTTGAAGATTCACATCATAGGATAAGTCTGGTCTGGTTCAAAGGTAACTTGTGGTGTATGCAAACCAAGGTTAAGTGATGCCTCAAGTAATTGTAAAATATCAAGAGGCATCAAAGGGGGGAATGTGGTGGAATCTCGGTAAAAATAAATTTAGTAGGCCGAGATTACCACGTGGCATGTGTACGTGCATATGCTGACGTATCGATCAGTTGGTTGCACGAGGCAAGATACGATCAGTAGTGTACGGAGCATGTGCAAGAATACAGGATGTAGTATTCCCCTCCTCCATTGTGCTGGACAAGCCATGCGGTCAAGCAGGAAGTTAATTCTTATTTGTAATGATTGGTCAAGAGAATGTGCGGGTGGAGCTTAATATGGGAGGAGTTATGTGCCTATATAGGGAGCCTGCACTATTGTTCAGGGCTCAGAACTTGCTGTATTTTTGGTGACATTAGTCCCTCTGAGTCCCGATCGGTGATCCAATAAAGAATCTCTTCCTTCCTGAAGAAACCTGTGTCCATCCCTCTGTGCTTTGCTTCCGTCAGTTTCTCCGGTATCACAGCTACTGAGGTCTAAACTTTAAAGGGACACTGTAGGCACCCAGACCACCTCAGCTAATTGAAGTGGTCTGGGTGCTGTGTCCCTTTTGCACCTCGTGCTGCAATGTAGAACATTCAGTCAAGTCTGCCCACAGTGGCTGTCTCCCATACAGTTGCTAGAGGGCTTCCTGAATCGAAAAGGACCTTTGGTCCAGTATCCGACGCTGGATGTCAGACTGGCCATCGGACACACAGGGGCGCAGTGTGGTGTGCTGTGTGTGTGAGGGTGCAGTGTGTGAGGGTACTGTGTGTGTGAATATGTTTGGCTGGATTGTGTGGGGGGTGGCAGATTTAAATATATAAATATATTAAATATGTATTTTTGTTTTTATTAAAAAAACCAAAAAACTTTATACCACCTCTCCCTTCTTACCTTTTGACTGGGAGGGGGGGTAACCGCTCCGACCTCGCGAAAGGGACCCAGCAGAGCTGCTGGCTAAAGCTCCCCCGGGTCCTCCTCTCTTCTCCCTCTCCACCGGTGGCCGCATGTCAGTGCCTGTGGGCTGGTGAGGGAGATCTTTGGTCTCCCCAACGGCCCATGAAGGCACACAGCAGGGCCGATGCTCGGATAGTGCCGGCTCTGCGTGGGCCGACAGGGAAGATCCTGTGATCTCCCCTGGCGGCCTCGGCCCATGGCCATTGTGGCCCACCAGGCATCTGCCCGGTGTGTCCGATGGCCAGTCTGACATCCAGCGTCGGATACTGGACCAAAGGTCCTTTTCGATTCAGGAAGCCCTCTAGCAACTGTATGGGAGACAGCCACTGTGGGCAGACTTGACTGAATGTTCTACATTGCAGCACGAGGTGCAAAAGGGACACAGCACCCAGACCACTTCAATTAGCTGAGGTGGTCTGGGTGCCTACAGTGTCCCTTTAAAGTTTAGACCTCAGTAGCTGAGCTGGACAAATACTCAGATGAGCTATATTTTTAATTTGGCTTTCACTATTCCCTGTTTCCCATACATTATTAGTCACAAACCCGAATTGTAGAAAAACCTAAATTAAATGGCTAAAATAGCCACGCTGTAACTGCAGCTGTGAGATTTGTTCCAGATCAGCTATTTTAGATTTTTGCAAATTGGATTCTAATATTCTACAATTTGGAGATTAGCGACTAACCCTAACCGTGTAATTGAAGAGATGTAGAGACTATAATGGCGGTGACTGAATGACAAATTCCATACTGGCCAGAATTCACATATAGAAACAGGATATTTAATAACATGTAAATCCAATCTACACAAACAAGGCAGTCAGTGTCTGCTTAATTGGGAGCGTGAGGATTAGAACTGAGAGGAAGAGGCTAATGGGAGATTATTATTAAATAAAAAAATGTCTGCCATGGGTAAAAGCAAGACTGCCAAGTTTGACTTTTTAACCTTCTTTTTTGCTTGCCAGAGAAGTGACAATTCCATGTTCCTTCACTCCAGTAAACGTATGCATTTCGGGGTCTTTGCCGCCTCATGATGCTTTGGGCATGAGCGTAAGCAGAGAAATTCTGTATGTGCACATTCACATTTGGAATTCTCTGCACAATATTAACTAATTTACATGGTTTGCCACCAAAGTATGCAAGTTAAAGAGACACTCCTGACTCCATAACAACTTTATTGTAATTAAGCTGTTATGGTGTGAGAGTGTCCCAGGTGCCGTCTTTCCTTATGGGGCTAAGCCATTAATACATGGTTTAGCACAAACTTTCAAAGATGGTGCACGTTTGCTCAGCCCAGCTACTTCCTACAAAGGTCAGAGGCTTCAATTAGCGCCAAGGAGTGAGTTAGCTGATCCACTCAGCCTATCTCTAGCTCGCCCCATTCAGAAAATAGTGAAAAACATACATACTTTTTAACTTGAAAGCCTAGGACTTCTGATCATAATCACTACAGCCCATTAGGAGTACCCTGGCACCATTCCGCTGTAATGCAGCAAACCATTTTTTAATGGTTGGCCCTCTTACATAGTTCACTGCCGGGCACCGAGTCTCCTCTCTTACTGGCTGATAACATTTGGCTTCTACAGAGCTGCAGAAATCCATAGCTCTCAAGTGTCCTTATTTAGGAGAGACAGTCCTCATTTTAGGTCCTAATCCCTCTGTATTTTCTGTCCTATTGCTCCTCTTTTCTAGGAGCTCCACCTCCTAGGAGCACCATGTTGGAATGTTTAAGTGTATAACAGAGCTCCACAGCAATCATACTCCCAGTAATGTGTCTGTATATAACAGAGCTCCACAGCAATAATACTCCCAGTAATGTGTCTGGGTGTATAACAGAGCTCCACAGCAATCATACTCCCAGTAATGTGTCTGGGTGTATAAGAGAGCTCCACAGCAATAATACTCCCAGTAATGTGTCTGGGTGTATAAGAGAGCTCCACAGCAATAATACTATCAGTAATGTGTCTGGGTGTATAACAGAGCTCCACAGTAATAATACTCCCAGTAATGTGTCTGAGTGCATAACAGAGCTCCACAGCAATAATACTCCCAGTAATGTGTCTGAGTGTATAACAGAGCTCCACAGCAATAATACTCACAGTAATGTGTCTGAGTGTATAACAGAGCTGCACAGTAATAATACTCCCAGTAATGTGTCTGAGTGTATAACAGAGCTCCACAGCAATCATACTCCCAGTAATGTGTCTGAGTGTATAACAGAGCTCCACAGCAATAATACTCCCAGTAATGTGTCTGAGTGTATAACAGAGCTCCACAGCAATAATACTCCCAGTAATGTGTCTGAGTGTATAACAGAGCTCCACAGCAATAATACTCCCAGTAATGTGTCTGAGTGTATAACAGAGCTCCACAGCAATAATACTCCCAGTAATGTGTCTGAGTGTATAACAGAGCTCCACAGCAATAATACTCCCAGTAATGTGTCTGAGTGTATAACAGAGCTCCACAGCAATAATACTCCCAGTAATGTGTCTGAGTGTATAACAGAGCTCCACAGCAATAATACTCTCAGTAATGTGTCTGAGTGTATAACAGAGCTCCACAGTAAAAATACTCCCAGTAATGTGTCTGAGTATGTAATAGAGCTCCACAGCAATAATACCCCCAGTAATGTGTCTGAGTGTATAACAGAGCTCCACAGTAATAATACTCCCAGTAATGTGTCTGAGTATGTAACAGAGCTCCACAGCAATAATACTCCCAGTAATGTGTCTGAGTATGTAACAGAGCTCCACAGCAATAATACTCTCAGTAATGTGTCTGTAAACTACAAAAAATGTGTTTAGAAATCAGTCTGTGTAAATAAGATACATTGTTCTATTCCTAAATTACATTTTAGTTGTATAAATTGTTATTAATAAGTCATCTACATTTTCTCAGATCAGCCACACCCCTAAAATTAAAGTATTCAATTTGTTTATTTGAAATGTTAGGAGGTATGGAAGCTGGATGCCGATCGTGCAGTCCGTTCATTGGCTGAGAGTATCAGCTGATCACCCTCATCCAATAAATGACATTCTGTGCATATGAATTTGCACAGAATTGACATTAGCTAGCACGGACCTTGCTCTAGGTTGGCTATACACAGGTTTAAATACACGTCAGGCAGCAAGGGAGTGTGTGCAGCGTTTCATAGTGAAACACTGCGCATGCACAGGATTATTTCATAAACTGAGAATTCAAGGTAAATTTAAAATTTAAGGTCAATATAACCAAAGTCAGCTATGCTTTCACTTTGGCTACTCTGGCTTTCAATTTCAAAATCACTTTGAATTCTCATTTAAGCAAATTATAATAGCAGACTCCAGGCACCATGATCACTTCAAATCGTTGAAGTGGTTATGGTGTTTGGAGTAATCCTTTAATGGACTGTCAACTTTGTTCTAATGATTCTGACGCCCCCATTAACAAACCCTTGTACATCATTTTTCTCTGTACTCAGCAATTCCTCATTAATACTTTTCTTTTGTTTTTGTTTGTTTGAATACTCTGGTTTTTTTTTACATTCCCGTGTTTTGTCTTGCCTTGTCTGTTACAGTTTGACGTTAAGGTATAAATGTTGCATTCTATTCCGTCACTAATACCCTGACGGTCCCATGTAATTACTGCACTTGAACTACTAGTTATCTATTGGATACAGGGTCACATCTTGTGACCGCTCGGTGTCTGCACCCCCAGCTGTCGTCCTAACAGACACTCCCACGATCCTGTGCAAATCATTAACTGCAGCCTCAGGCCACTACGGAATCTTTAAATTATTGGGTAGTTGGTCCAGAGTTTATTTATATTCCGTGGGGAAAGTACGAGTCGACATGTACAGCAAGAAGGAATCCAGGTCAGTGGCTTATAGGGTGAAGGACTGTGCACTGGTTATTCCAGCAAAAATAGTGTTACTTTTTATGCGATTCTACATGCTTTCCAATTTCCTTCTGTTTCTCTCCCAGGGTGGACCATCTCCTGTCCTTTACTCCTCGCTAAATTTCTTCACCACCCAAAATGTGTCTCTCCCACCTATCACTCCCATCTCCTTCCAATCTATTTTCCTCCGCCTTGTGCAGTCTGAATCTGTCCATTCTCAGTCATCACCTCCTTTTTTTTTTTTTTTATTCTTTAATTTTATAGTGCAAAGGATAGCACACAGGCTTGTGATGCCACAATAGCATTGACAAGTATATTGCAGACACACATGTAGATACAGCGTCATGGCTTATGATAAAGAAAAGTTGCACATTTTTTATGGTTTTAAGAAAAAGGCTGAACTATAGGTCTAATCAGAAGACTAGAGAAAGTACAGACTCAGGAAATTGAATACTAGCAGTACATTTATTGAGTCACTTCGCCTCGAGTGTGGAGAATATGTGTATGTAGGTGCCGTGTTAAACATGTGAAGGAAAAACATTAGTGCTAGATTTACATGTCATAACTGTTAATGGGGTAGAGGTAACTTATATCACTAGTTAGACATGAGAGATGCAGAGATTAATACCCCATGGAGGCCCTCCTGTAAGTGCTATTAGAGGAGGAAGAAAAACGAAAATAGTAAACATTAGAAAAGGTCAAACAGAGAGGAAGGGACCATATACCATGGAATAGCACAGTGCCCCAAATTGAGTATGCTCAAGTGACCAAAATAAACCCCACAGTTCCCCCACAAAATTCTGCGAAGCAAGAGAAATGTGAGCAACCAGGGTCTATTGAGAACTCCCCCGTTCAACCTATGCCTTCCATGGACACAGAACAGTCGTGCACTAGGAATGATATGCTTCAGGTCGGATGGAAGCTGGTAACTTGCTATCGAGGTCAGATACAGGGTTCCTTGCAGCCTCTCCCACTCAATTTAGGTCCCAGTCGCAGCCCGCATGCATGCTCACCACTGCACCTTCTTGTGTTTTGGTGGCCTACGCTGCGAGCTCCGCCACCATTTTGGTGTCTGCTTCACAGCCAGGGTCAAGGACTCCCAATCAGCTGCTGGAGGCGGTTATTGAGGTAAGTCGGTCTCCGATGGTAGTGGGACCAGTGTGCGCATATTGCTTTCCAGCTTCAGCCAAAAGTTTACGAAGAGGCTTTCGAGCCGGGACAGGATATCTGGGTGGTGGGTCCTGAGGAACATACGGTCTTCACCACACTGCGGGTCTCAGTACCGCCAGGCTTGGTGGCCATAGCACACATTATGGCGGGGCCATGGTGGACTGGGATCACCCCCACCGGTCCAAGAGGTGGGGCGACTGGGGCACTGGTGCAGGAGTAATCGCTTCTAGGCACCTTCGGGTCAGGGGATTGGCTGCCTTTTCCTCCTGGTCCGCACTAGGCCGCATTTATCACGGTGGGTCAAGAAGGCCTTGGAAGGATCACCGATCGTTGCTTGAAATAGCAAGTAACATAGAAACATAGAAACATAGAATGTGACGGCAGATAAGAACCATTCGGCCCATCTAGTCTGCCCAATTTTCTAAAAACTTTCATTAGTCCCTAGCCTTATCTTATAGATAGGATAGCCTTATGCCTATCCCATGCATGCTTAAACTCCTTTACTGTGTTAACCTCTACCACTTCAGCTGGAAGGCTATTCCATGCATCCACTACCCACTCAGTAAAGTAATACTTCCTGATATTATTTTTAAACCTTTGTCCCTCTAATTTAAGACTATGTCCTCTTGTTGTAGTAGTTTTTCTTCTTTTAAATATAGTCTCCTCCTTTACTGTGTTGATTCCCTTTAAATATTTAAATGTTTCTATCATATCCCCCCTGTCTCGTCTTTCCTCCAAGCTATGCATGTTAAGATCCTTTAACCTTTCCTGGTAAGTTTTATCCCGCAATCCATGAACCAGTTTAGTAGCCCTTCTCTGAACCTTCTCTAAGGTATCAATATCCTTCTGAAGATACGGTCTCCAGTACTGTGTACAATACTCCAAGTGAGGTCTCACCAGTGTTCTGTATAATGGCATGAGCACTTCCCTCTTTCGACTGCTAATACCTCTCCCTATACAACCAAGCATTCTGCTAGCATTTCCTGCTGCTCTATTACATTGTCTGCCTACCTTTAAGTCATCAGAAATAATCACCCCTAAATCCCTTTCCTCATATGTTGAGGTTAGGACTCTATCAAATATTCTGTACTCTGCCTTGGGTTTTTACGTCCAAGATGCATTATCTTGCACTTATCCACATTAAATGTCAGTTGCCACAATTCTGACCATTTTTCTAGTTTACCTAAATCATTTGTCATTTGGCTTATCCCCCCTGGAACATCAACCCTGTTACATATCTTAGTATCATCAGCAAAAATACATACCTTACCATCAAGACCTTCTGCAATATCACTAATATAAATATTAAAGAGAATGGGTCCAAGTACAGATCCCTGAGGTACCCCACTGGTGACAAGTCCAAGCTTCGAATATATTCCATTAACTACAACTCTCTGTTGCCTGTCACTCAGCCACTGCCTTACCCATTCAACAATATTGGAATCCAAACTTAAAGATTGCAGTTTATTGATAAGCCTTCTATGTGCAGCAGTGTCAAAAGCCTTACTGAAATCTAGGTAAGCAATGTCTACTGCACCACCCTGATCTATAATTTTAGTTACCCAATCAAAAATCAATAAGATTAGTTTGGCATGATCTCCCTGAAGTAAACCCATGTTGTCTCTGATCTTGAAATCCATGTGTTTTTAGATGTTCAACAATCCTATCCTTTAACATGGTTTCCATCACTTTCCCCACTACTGAAGTAAGGCTTACTGGCCTATAGTTGCCCGACTCCTCCCTATTACCTTTCTTGTAAATGGGCACAACATTCGCTAACTTCCAATCTTCTGGGACTACTCCTGTTAACAATGATTGGTTAAATAAATCTGTTAATGGTTTTGCTAGTACACCACTAAGCTCTTTTAATAGCTTTGGGTGTATTCCATCAGGTCCCATTGACTTATTTGTCTTTACTTTTGACGGTTGAAATAGAACCTCTTCCTCTCTGTAAACTCACGTGTAATAAATGACTCATTTATCCTTTTTCTCAACTGAGGTCCCTTTCCTTCATTTTCTTCTGTAAATACAGAACAAAAATATTCATTGAGGCAGTCAGCCTGACCTTTATCCTCTTCTACATACCTTCCTTCTTTTGTTTTTAATCTAACTAATCCTTGTTTTACTTTTCTTTTCTCATTTATGTATCTAAAAAATGTTTTATCCCCTTTTTTACTGACTGTGCTATTTTCTCTTCTGTGTGTGATTTGGAAGCTCTTATAACTTGCTTAGCCTCTTTCTGCCTAATCTTATAGATCATTCTGTCTCCCTCACTCTGGGTTTTTTTATAATTCCTAAATGCTAACTTTTTGTTTTTAACTATTTTGGCCACATCTGCGGAGTACCACAGTGGTTTCTTGAATTTTTGCTTTTACTGACAAGCCTAATGCAATTTTCTGTTGCCTTCAATAGTGCAACTTTTAAATAATCCCATTTCTCTTGGACTCCATTTAAATTGCTCCAGTCTGATAATGACTCCTCTACCCATATTCTAATTTTAGAAAAGTCTGTTTTTCTAAAGTCTAAAACTTTTGTTTTTGTGTGGTGTGACTCAGTCACTGTTCTTATATTAAACCACACTGACTGATGATCACTGGATCCTAAACTTTCACCTACAGTAACATCTGATACCAAATCTCCATTTGTTAACACTAAATCTAGTATGGCCTCTTTACGAGTTGGCTCCTCAACAACTTGTTTTAGAGACAATCCCAGTAGGGAGTTTAGAATATGTGTGCTCCTGGCACAAGTAGCTAATTTTGTTTTCCAATTTACATCAGGAAGATTAAAGTCACCCATGATGATAACTTCCCCCTTCATTGTCATTTTAGCTATTTCCTCAACTAGTAGATTATCTAACTCTTCACTTTGTCCTGGGGGCCTATAAATCACACCTACACGAGTTACTGTGTGATTACCAAATTCTAACGTAGCCCAAGCGGACTCTATGTTTGCCTCACTAACTTTTATTAGGCTAGATTTTATGCTATCCTTCACATACAAGGCCACCCCTCCCCCTTTCTTGCCTTCCCTATCTTTCCTATATAAAGAGTACCCTGGTATTGCTATGTCCCAGTCATTTTTCTCATTGTACCATGTCTCAGTAACAGCGACTAGGTCTGGTGGGCCAAATCGAGCTTGGTGAGGTTGTACAATGCGTTCGTTTAGTAGAATAGTGGAGGCTCTTGCTCGAGATGTATCCTTCCACCATGACAGTCAGGCCCCACCCTGTCATCATCTCCTTCAACCACCGATACTCATCCCTTATCTGTCTCCTCCATCCTGTAACCTCTCCTGGAGATCCCCTCTCACTCTGCTTAATTCTGTCTCTCTCTATGATTTCCCCAGTGCTGCATCATCGTCATTCCCATCATCTCCTTCACCGCTCAACCACCTCTTGCCTTTCTTTCTTTTCCCCATCCTACTTCTCAGTCCTTGTGCTCTAACATATCTTCCTTAACATTTACGCATCTTTACTTTCCAGCATTTGGTAGGTAACTCTTCTTTCGCCATCCCTGTTCTATCTTCCCTTCTTATGTAACATTTATCATCCTCAGCTAAGTTCACTTATCCCTTTTTTCATTAATTCTCATCCCTACGACCATTTCTCTTCTCTATTTACCCCTTTTGCCCTCCTATAGGAGAAGTGTAAATTTAAAAAAATGTATCCTCTGTATTTAAAAAAATATGTATTTGTACAGCTTTAAAAATAACATTAAATGAAGAAATCCTTTGTACCTGTCAGTCAGTATAGAGAGAGCTACCTCCATGTTAGCTCCCTGTCAATCATTGTTATAAGCTCTGTCTCTTACACCTGTCTCTTACACCTGGCAGTCAGCATAGAGAGAGCATACAGAGAAAAGGAGAAATGAAACAATGTTTCTATTACTCCTCCTCATTTGCATTTTGTGCCTTGGCTGTGCCTGAACTGCATTGCAATATCATTTACCAAATCTTTAAAATGAGTTAAAAAAAATAAATAAAAATAGAGCATTACATAAAAAAAAAATGTTAACACAATTTATAGGTGATTCTCAAAGATTTAGTCAATGGTGTAAAAGTAATGGTTCGCTTTTAACGTATGTTCTTTGTCTGTGTGCTTCTTATTGCCTACTCCATCTGACTCCCTTATCCACAAGCTCCTCTCCATTTTCTCTCTGTCCTACATCATGTTCCTAAACTCCTCACTTTTTGTCTTTTACTGATGCAGCATGTCATCATTCAGTAAAATGAGAATATATAAATATAAACCAAGATGGCTGCACTCACCTGACCATACATGCATTATGCTGCTGGGGCCAATTCATGCAATGTCTTGTACATTGTATCCAGCGAACTCTCTCATTCAATAAACCGCAATTTCGAAGCTCACAGAAGGTAATCATTTTTTGGCGAGCTTGTTTAATCAATACTATTACATTCCATAAGCTTTGAAATTGCTGTTTAGTGGAAGAGTGAGTGTGCAGGATAGATATATAAAACCCTATACAACTTCTGACTCTGCAGATACGAAAACTGTGAGGAGACTGCCCGCTGGCTCCGAGATCGTGTGCGCACCCCTCCATGTATCGCTATAATCTGTGGTTCTGGCCTGGGACTCCTTGCTGACACATTGTGTGACCCACAAGTCTTTTCCTACAGCCAGATACCAAACTTCCCAACAAGTACCGGTGCGTAAGTAGTCTTTCAATGGGTGGTCAACATATGTAGAAATCAGTGGTGAGATTAGTTTTTCTGGGTTCTGATGGAGAAATTGGTGAAGGTTGGACAAGATTGTGATCAAGCAAATATAACAAACAGGATTGTATACCCCTCTACGACTAGGCTATAATGCTGTGTACAATGCTTGATGGCAGATAGTTACCTGTGGACCTGATTACCAGAAGAATGAAGATAGTCATTTTGGGAATAGGGGTTTTCTAGATTATGTGGAACTCCAGAGTAATTTCAGAATTCACTGTGTTAATAACCTGAATTAGGCAGGAATGGAGTATATAAACTTTTTCAAGTAACCCAAATCCCTGCTTGAGGGCTCAACCAGATACCGTTTTTGATAGCTGTGTTAACGTACAGAATATAATTGATGTTCTGTATTGTCAGCAGTGTGTATGAGAATATCGGCCTTAAAACGAATAGTGTATGTTTTGTATGCATGATTATATGTCGTTCCAGTGCCTGGACATGCAGGGGAGCTCGTGTTCGGAACTCTACAAGGGAAGTCATGCGTGTGCATGAAGGGAAGGTTTCACGTCTATGAAGGATATCCTCTATGGAAGGTTAGAGACTGTCTCTGTCACTTTACATTATAAACTAAAGCCCTATTCTACTAGCCAGACCTTAAAAGTTACTACAAGCCATAGAATATCCTTTAAGGTGAATTTCAACTCAACAGATCTCACGTTTCCCTTGAAAATGTCTAATGATGAGTGGAAATTTGAGCCTTGAATAACAGTCTAATCTGTCAGTGTATCCCAGTCTGTCCCACATGGCCAAGTGTGATCTTCATGACCTGGTTTGGTCCTTGATGTCTATTCTGTGCACAACTTCTGTCTCTAATCCTTAATTTTACTTCTCTAATGCCTGGACGAAAAGGTCTACTAGCTCAGCTCCAACTACCAGTAGACCCATGACTGCTCTGTCTTTCATCCTATCCTGCCAATAACAGTCCAACATGGACCCCTATATTTACCTATATCGCCTATATTACCAATATTCGCCTATATTACCAATTTGTTCTTTCTGTTACCAGTTTTTGTAATCATATCTCGTCCTGCTCCATGCAATACACTTTAGATCAGAGTCTATAACCCATTTGTCAAGTACCTCATCTTCTCTCCGCTTATTTTTCTGCTTGGATTTTCACTACAGCAAGGACACAAACTGTTGGTTTAGTTCAATTTAAATAACCTCCATTGCAAACACTAGAAAGGGACCTGGCAACGATACAACTGCTACAGGTCTTTGACAAGCCAAAATCTCTCTTTTATAACACAACTTTCATTAAAGTCCAACTTCTATCAGTCCCAACTCATTACGGAACATTATGTGTTTCCCACAAACCTATTGTGTATTGTCTCCTAAAACACCTGTCATTACCCTCTGTATGTCCTCACAGGTCACACTCCCTGTCAGAGTGTTTAAGCTGATGGGTGTTCAAGTCTTGCTGGTGACAAATGCTGCTGGATCTCTGTGTGAAACCTACCGGACAGGGGACCTCATGATTATTAGGGATCACATTAACATGCCAGGATTGGCTTCTTTGAACCCTCTCATAGGGCCAAATGATGACAGGTAAGCAACAGGCGTATTTATCCACGGGGAAAAGAAATAAAGGGAATGTGACAGGTATAGAGGAGTGTGATAATCTGCAGGTTTGTGACAGCTACAAGGAGAGTAATAATCTGCATGTTTGTGACAGGTATAGAGGAGTGTGATACTCTGCAGGTTTGTGACAGATATAGAGGAGAGTAATAATCTGCATGTTTGTGACAGGTATGAGGAGTGTGATAATCTGCAGGTTTGTGACAGGTATAGAGGAGGGTGATACTCTGCAGGTTTGTGACAGGTATAGAGGAGTGTGATACTCTGCAGGTTTGTGACAGGTATAGAGGAGGGTGATACTCTGCAGGTTTGTGACAGGTATAGAGGAGGGTGATACTCTGCAGGTTTGTGACAGGTATAGAGGAGGGTGATACTCTGCAGGTTTGTGACAGGTATAGAGGAGGGTGATACTCTGCAGGTTAGTGACAGGTATAGAGGAGGGTGATACTCTGTAGGTAAGTGACAGGTATAGAGGAGGGTGATACTCTGCAGGTTTGTGACAGGTATAGAGGAGGGTGATACTCTGTAGGTAAGTGACAGGTATAGAGGAGGGTGATACTCTGCAGGTTTGTGACAGGTATAGAGGAGTGTGATACTCTGCAGGTTTGTGACAGGTATAGAGGAGGGTGATACTCTGCAGGTTTGTGACAGGTATAGAGGAGGGTGATACTCTGCAGTTTGTGACAGGTATAGAGGCGGGTGATACTCTGCAGGTTTGTGACAGGTATAGAGGAGGGTGATACTCTGTAGGTAAGTGACAGGTATAGAGGAGGGTGATACTCTGCAGTTTGTGACAGGTATAGAGGAGGGTGATACTCTTCAGTTTGTGACAGGTATAGAGGAGGGTGATACTCTGCAGGTAAGTGACAGGTATAGAGGAGGGTGATACTCTGCAGGTTTGTGACAGGTATAGAGGAGGGTTATACTCTGCAGGTAAGTGACAGGTATAGAGAAGTACTGAATTACTAAGAGCCATACTCTCTGATCTCACAGGTTTGGCCCCCGATTCCCCTCTCTGTGGGATACCTATGACCCTAACTTACGAAGCACGGCTCTGGAAATCACCCATCGCCTGGGACATGCTAAACTGACCCATGAGGGGGTGTACTGTATGGTGGGGGGTCCTAACTTCGAGTCAGTGGCAGAAGCCAAATTCTTGCGCCTCCTGGGGGCCGATGCTGTGGGTGAGTAACCATGGTAACCATAGGTTGGAGTATTCTGCTAAGATAAAGTAAGAATGATTTTGGAAGAAGCATTGGGTTGTGACCCAGTGGGGCTCTTTCATCAATTGCAATTCTAGCTCTAGCAGTGGAGCTATCACCATGGGAACCAATGGGATGTTTAAATTAGTGCTCAACATTTAGAACTCTGACCCAGAATTTTTCTTGATACAAAGCCCAGTGTATCTATTAACAGATGCAATATTATTGTCCGTTCCCAGAGTGTACTGCTAAACAAGGGGTGAATGGGCAAAAATCTGAATTTTCAGTGTGTGAGAAAATTAGGGGAGCACTGGCACATTTTAGTCTGGGGGCAAATTACCATTTTCTGTGCAGTTAACCTTGAGATTGCTTTGTCATGAGCACTATCCCAAATACTGCTAGGCTCCCCGGTAATATGTCAATAGTCAGTCCAGGCTTAAAGAACATTGAGATTACAGGCCACTAGCCCAAACACAATGAACTGGGCTAGCAAAGACCCTGCATTACTCCTGTCTGCTGCATCACTCCTGCAGTACTCAGCACATAGACATCCCAGTGCACCCCTGCAGCTATTAGTCAGAAGACTGATGCTGTGAGATTGTAACCGACAGAACCCGGTGTGCCAGTGACATGGGGGCATTTGCCTCCTTGCTAGCCTTCAAATGGTGAAAAGCAAACTCACCTTCCCATCTGACCCAAATTAAAGTGCTGATATTTATATAAAAGTCCTATTTATGTTCAGTGACATTTAGATAGAGTGGTCTTTTTATAAAGCACTTTTAAAGCGGATATGTAAATTTCAGGTGTCTTTGCACAGTTTGTGAAGTCCCCCAAAACAGACAGATCCAGTGTGGGTCCGATGGCCTCTGGTTGTTCCTCGCGGCCGCCGCCATCTTCATGCCGCATGTCTCTGCAGGTCTTGGCAGAGTACAACAGTGAGATCAATGGAGGCACCTGCGAGACTATGTGATACTACATGGACAAAAGCTGACAGAGGAGCTTTGCTGTTTATATGTGGATACTATGGCATTAGGAATACAGCTGTGTATTCCTAACACTATCGTGTTCCTTTAATACCCGAGCCACAATTTTTCACTAGTTGCTAAACCAACTATTAATATTAGATATAAACTGTGAAAGGAACACTCCAAACACAGAGAGCACATTAACTTGCTTTATGTGTGAAAAATGTGTTAAATTTTACAAAAAGTGCATGTTTTAATAGAAATTGGCACTTTAATAAATGTATCTTGTTACAACTCCCCCCCTCCCCTTTATTATTATAATGAAACAAAGGGTAAGGTACAAAAAGAGAGATATAGTAGGAGTCAGGCATCATAAATTCATTCCAAAATTGAAATTAAAATGAAAAACTGTATGCGCAGGATCCAATCCCCAGGGGAATATTAGGGAGAGTTAGACAGAGGTGGCCAACAATCAGGTAGGTTAGTCTGTGAGGAAAAAAAATATTTTGCCAGTTTAGCAATTTGTACCTAAAATTTGAAATTCCCTTTAAATTCCCAACAACTGACACTTTTGTGAATGACCCTGCAAGCGATCAGTAAGGGACAAAGATCGGATTGAATCAAGTTATCCGGTGGAAGCTGGATTCTGGGCAAATTCTAAAAGACTATTTACATTTCGCTGGTTGCAGACATTAGCCAGAAGACACACAGAGATTATATAATATGTAGGAACACAAGGGCCCTCCTATAAATCCAAACTAAGCTACGGCAATGCTAAGGAAATTTAGCAAGCACTATAGATGAACGCTGGTACTCACAGGTCTTTTGTAACAAATGGAAAAAATGCATTAGTGGTCAATACTTCCACCCCCACAGAGACCTTCATTATCGACTAAAACATTAACTACAAATAAATTTTTTCTTAATTTTGTTGCATATGAATTGAGAGCAGGAATTGTCTACTACTGGCCCACAGGCAGCTGCCGGCCACTAGTAAACCTGTGATACAAAAAGCTTTCTAAATTCATACATACATATATATAGTGTATAACTGTGCATCCGCGTGCAACTGTGAAATGCCCATTATGGAAAAATAAATGCCAACCAGGGCTTCTCGTTATAATGGGTATAATAATCCCGTGAGACTGAAGCATGTTTGCAGAACCACAGGATAGTATTATTTTCAATAATACATGGGTCACCATTATGTATCTCTTATATTACTTAAGTTTTTAGGACTGGGATTAGTATTTCAGTCTACAGTTCATTTTATCTTATGATGTCACGTCCGGCCTCCAGCGAGATTGGGAACTGATGGCCATCAATTATTTGAGTGGATAAATATTAGGAGATGGGAAGGTAAATGGGGTGCTATCCCTTGAGAAAGACATGGTTTTGGTGCCGAAACGTTGGGGGTACTTTAGACGTGCCTAGTTCTTGTAAGCTTGCTGCGAGTTTTTAGCAGTTGCTTTGATGTCTAAAGCCTTTGTCACTTTCTGTTTTCATGCATGTGTGTTTTTTGTACATATATTTTGATTATTTGAGTAATAAAGATTATTCTCGACGATAGGTATTTGTAACTGGTTTGTATAATTTTGCTTGTTGATACCTGAGGCCCATCGTGCACTGTGGTCATCAAACTTTGCATTCTGGGAAATAATTCCTGAATGATATCATCCGCCATGCACTATAGGACTTGAAAACATGATATAATGGTCCGATCCTGTAAAATATAATTTATTATTGTGAAATATCTTATGTCGGTAATCTGGCCTCTTTGATTATCCACAGTATGGATAAATAACCCACTTGTATTTATGATTTTCTTAGGAATGAGCACAGCCCCGGAGGCCGTTGTTGCAAAGCACTGCGGGATGCGAGTGTTCGGTTTGTCGCTGATCACCAACCGTGTGGCCCAGGGATACGAGGGGCAGGAGGCCGTAGATCACAACAGTGTCCTGGAAGTGAGCAAGTGGAGGTCACAGATCCTGCAAGATCTTGTTACAGAGCTGGTGGCGACCATCTGTTGTCAGGTCGACAATGATCAGCAGCCATATTGACTATGGGCATCGAACTCTGACAAGAGACAGCCAGCGGATGGTGTATCGTACACTGGGACTAAACGAGCCCAGAACCGAGATTTGGCAGAGGCTCATTGTTCTAGATAGCTCACTGGAGCAGGGCTTTCTTCACCTCTGTTTAATAGCCCCACTGTATTATTGTAAAGCCCTGCAGAATATATTGACACTATCTAAATAACAATAATGCTGGGGTTGCGAGAGCCACACATTCTTTCTTCATGTTAGACAGTGCAGGAAAAGGTCTGCTCTGTGTAATGTAAAATAATGCATACATAAAAGACTAGAAGTTAATGTATTAATCAAGAAGCGATACGAAAAGAACTAGCTACTAATATTGCAATAAAACCATACTATATTAAAAAAAAATATTAGTCTATAAACTTTCTCTTTTGATGCTCTGCAGCAATATGAATTTAGCTGCCCAATTGTCAGTCAGTGCTCCTCCTTACAAACACATGGGTGTAGTGCTGAGCATTGAATCCATGATACATTAGCCGCAAACTGCGTCATCATTCTGTGTGTGACGACCCTGAATGTAAAGACCTTAAAAAATTGAAGAAGTAAAGAGGAAGTGCCTCTACTGTTTGTCTGTCTGTCTGACAGCCACGAGAAGGGTAGTGATACCGGAGAAACTGACGGAAGCAAAGCACAGAGAGATGGACACAGGTTTCTTCAGGAAGGAGGAGATTCTTTATTGGATCACCGATCGGGACTCAGAGGGACTAATGTCACCAAAAATACAGCAAGTTCTGAGCCCTGAACAATAGTGCAGGCTCCCTATATAGGCACATAACCCCTCCCATTAATAGCTACACCCACATATACCTTTAACCAATCAATGAGCAGAATATAGACTTGTACATCTAGTCAAACCACATGGCCCATCCAAGACAAAGGAAATAAGTGCAATTTCAGTTCCTGCATTCCTGCACATGCTCAGTACACTGATGACAGTATCCTAGCTACATGTAGCTAACCAACTGACACAACATACACATATGCCACATGGAGATTTTGGCCTACTAAATTTTAACCATGCTGGAATCCCATCACATTCCCCCCTTTGATGCCTCTTGATATTTTACAATTACTTGAGGCATCACTTAACCTTGGTTTGCATACACCACAAGTTACCTTTGAACCAGACCAGACTTATCCTATGATGTGAATCTTCAACACTCGTCTTCCTGCATTGGTTCTCCCTGATCTAGAGCCTTATATTTATAAATTGCCATTATCTGTGCAGCAGCCTTCCTCTCTGCTATATTTTCTATCAGGCTTTGCACAGACCTAACTACTAAGGGTATAAGACACGGCAGGAGTAGACACAACATTAAAATCAGTAGGACTCCACCTACCACTGCCTTAAGCCCTCCAAACCACTCATACCAGCTACCAAACCAACTACTTGGATTGTACCCTTTCCATACCTGAGTAGGCACATGCGCTAGTTTAACCATGTGGCTTGTAAGTTCAGCTATTGCTTGCCCTTCGTCATCTATTTGAAGACAGCAATTGCTCAGGTTAAACTTTCCACATACACCTCCCTCTACTGCCAAAAGATAATCCAAGGCTAATCTATTTTGGTAAACTGCTGTCCTCATCCTGGTATTATGCTTCGCTAGAAGATTGAGCGCTTGTGATGTCTCGTTAGTAATGATCTCAACCACCGCCTGTAACCTTATAATGCGGTTGAGCATATAAATAGGGGTTCTATAACCAAAGGTACTATCCTCTGCCCACGTGGCTGGCCCATAATAATCTATAATACGCTGGGGAGGCCATTCATTATCTTCCCAGGCACCTATCTCTATGGGTCCCCTTTTCTTCCTATGATTCACATCATACACTTTAACACCTAAAGTCTCACCTGTTTCAATAGGCAACAAGAAGAAGGATGGTTTAAACATACCCAACACACATGCCCCTTCCCAGTCCTGTGGTAACTCCGAATAGGCCTTCTTACCACAGATCCAGTACAAATTCGCTGGGGCTCTCCAGTTAGATGTGATGGATAGATCAAACCATACGCCCTTTAAATTGGCATATCTTGCAAACGGGTTAGATGGTTCTGAGACATTTGAAGCTGACCACCAAGTAGTATTTTTAGTATTAACATTATAGGCTTTTTGTCCCAAGCACGTTAGCTCACCTACAGACGTGTTATACATTGTCCCTTTCCTGGCTATACAAACATGACCTATAATTCCATTCCAATTTACTTCTAGTACTTACTTGATGATCAGACTGGAAAGGTATCTGTTGTTCATATGTCTCAGAGCCAGGGTACCATATTTCCTTTGCCTCCCATGGCCACTGGTCTCCCATATTAGTACTTCCACACACATAGCAATTAGTTACATTAAGACTACCTGCAATACCCTCAGCCAAATCAATAAATAGGTTGTTAACATTATGGGGAATTTTATCCTCAATACTCATCTCCTCATAGAAGGAATGAGAAACCTGATGAGTATGAGTTGCCACTGTCTCAGTTTCAAGACCTACATATATTATTGTTCCTGAATCTACTCCTGTGCCATATATTTGAACCCAAACAGACCTCCAAACCTGTCAATAAAGTACTGCAGATTGGAAATGGTCATGTGAACGGGGTTACACACATAGTTTTACAGTATGGTGTGGTAGGCAACCTTTGGATAATCATATCTTGATCCACTGTTTTTCCCCAGGTTGCCCAACCTACACATGACCAATAGGGGCAGAAGTTAAAGTCTCTATTTGGGCAATCAGGATCAGTAGATCTTTTACTGGGACATAAGTATTTATCATTAAACCCATAAGTTCGTTCCCATTTAAGATTACCACATACATTCCAAAGTCTTCCACTACCCGAAATCGCCTTACATGCATCAAATAGTAGAATACCCGTGGAATGTATGGCGCTTATCACAGTCCTATTTAGTAATGTCCCCTGGGAGTTACTATTCCGAATTACCAACCAAATTGTACAGGGTTGGAAATGGGGATCAAAACATTTAGACTCTCCTGATATTGGCTTGCACACACTATAATCAATATCCAAATATCTACATTTAGATACAGATCCCTTACATTCATACTGTGAGTGCTAGATGAAAGTTTGGGATATTTGGTTACCTGTTTTAGTAGTCTTAATGCAACTATCGCAATTCGGTATGTCTGTACTCCTACCTTCCTGAAAAATCATAAAAATACTAAGACACAATAAAACACATTATTCCAGAAATCCTCATTTTTCTTAAACCGTGCGATGGCCTCTCAGCTTCCCGATTGTGAGGGCTGCAAGGATGTTGTTCTTCTGATCCTCACTTTCCTTCACAGAGATCCCCTCAAGATACTCTGGCTATGACACGTAGGCAGGTGGTCAGGCTTTATTATGGCCGTCAAAACACCTACTTGATGATCTTTGTAGACTTTTAACTAGAATGTCTCAATATCCCCTCGTCACTCCGACTAAGTTGCACGCTTCAACCGGGTCCTGCAAGGATTCTCAGGATCTGGAGTAGTTTGCCAAGAGTCTGCTGCTAGTTTAACCTTAGAATGATGAATCCAAGGAGTCACTTCCGCCACCTTTACAGCTGTTGGGGTAGATAAAAGAACAACATACAAAGGCTAACAGGATACACCCCGAGCTTTAACTCGATATGTATTGGTGGGATATTACGAGCAAGTCCTGGAGGATTATTTTCTTCCCATACTCCTGGAATGTCAAGTAAGGATTCATCACTCTTAGGGTTAACACTTGTCACTATGGAATAGAAGCGCCATTCTTCTTCCCTTGGCACCGATATCACCATTATGCCTGGTAATCCCTTAAACTTCAGAGATGTTAATCCATTAGGTAAAAGGTTATCTGAGTTTAAAGCTTCGATAATAGATCTCGTCCTAAAAGTTGAATCGGACACTCTGGCATATATAGGAACTAATGCTTCACCACATGGCCTCCCTGAATACAAGTGCGACTCTTAAGAACCGGTCTAGCTGCACTTCTCCCAGTAGCTCCTATCACAGTTATAGTCTTCCCCGAAGGCGGAGCCACCATCTTAGTCACCACAGAATGTTCAGCACCTGTGTCGATCATGAAAGAACTTCTCTTTCCCCCTATTGCTACATCGACCATAGGCTACGCTCGACCAAGTGGGATGGAGCCCAGTCTGTATCAATAGTCTTCCATGATAGTGTCAGCCAGACCCACAAAATCTCTATCCTCTCTTTCTCTAGGTCTCTGCGTGGGTGGATAGTATCTGTCTCCTTGAACACTTCCTCTACTATTCCCACCATTCCCTCTAAAACTTCCTCTTACTCTATAACTACCACTATAACCTCCTCGTACCCTTCTCTCTCCTTGTCTATCACCTTCATACTGCTCTCTCTGTGGACACTCACTCTTCCAATGTCCCTCCTTTCTACAATACGCACATTAATTCCTACTTAAAGTCCCTTGCTCAGCCTATTCTCGTCTCCTATATTCACTTCCCTGTCTTTCTACACTTAAGATAGCTACCGCTAGCATATCTGCCTTTTTCCTCATTTTACGTTCTTCCTCCATCTCCCTATTCATATATACTGTATTTGCAATCTCCATTAGCTGTATTATGGACATCCCTACAAATCCCTCTAATTTCTGTAATTTCCTTTTACTATCACCTTGGGTCTGGCTGACAAATGCTGAGTCTATCATTCGGAAGTTTTCAGGGGCCTCTGGATTAAAGGGAGTATACAACCTATTTGACTCAAGCAGTGTCTAATATGGGACTTCGGCAAGGCTGCTCAATAATAGGTTCCAGTCTAGGAGTAGTAAGATAATTTTATTAGTCAGCATTTGGTGGATGAAAAAATGTTTTTTTTTTTTTTTTAAAGTGTTAAACCAAAAACCTACCAGTAGGTGTCACCAGAGGGTAATTGTATCAAAATAATCTTTATGGGTCTAATAAGAAAATTCAACTTTTAATATATTTATACATAAAATAAAACCTTATAGCAATAAATATATTAAAATAGGGTAAGCAATCCTACATCTATCTGTTATAAACAATGTATTATCAATGTAACTCCCGAAGATGGCCAGTAGGTGGCTTAGAGTGCCTCCCTAAAGTCAAATGAAACAAATAGACTTTAATTAATGATGTCCTATTTTATTATTACTTATTTTAATCAATGTCCACCCTGCTAGCTAGGCTTGATTAAATCTTTAGTTCTAAGGTAAATTAAACATTTCAGTTTGTAGTTTAGTAAAAGGGGACATTTTGGACAAAGCTGGGAGGGGCCCATCCAGTAACTAAAAAAAACCAATATACCATCTGATACCATTGATCATTGATTAGGGGGAGGGGTAGTACAGAAATACAAGAGTTTGAAACACAGGAACAGATAGGTATGTGGGTAGGCGGGGACAGTAGAGCAGGGGGAGTGCAAATACTGACTATATACCAGTTTTGGGAGTAAGAAATGGGCGTGGCTACTCTGGCTCTGGAGGATGTTTGGGGGGTTGGTAATCAGATGCCAGGGGGGGAGGGGATGTCCAAAGCAGTTGTAATTAAGTCCTTAGTTCTGACCACCATATGGCTACATTGTTTCCCATATGACACAGTTTAATTCACCAAGGCAACAATCAGTTTCCAACAGTCAATATATAGAAACTGATCATAGAATTCCAGCCTACTAGTTACAGCCACATGTACACCCTGCACTAAATTTAAGTGAAGACTGCTACATGGAGGCCATGCGGCCACCAGGACAGGCTACTCCCTACTTTTTTTTCTTTTTCTTTTCTTTAAACATACAAGACAAAGCCTTGTGAATCAGAAGATTATTTCAACAGAACGTCTGATTCAAAAAGCTGTACAAATATACACACAGTTTCAACAGTCACACCAATCTCCTTATCACCAGCAACACATTGCGCAGTCACTAGGCCCAAACACACACACAGGATCCTCACATGCTCAACAATATCACGACGTCGCACACACGAAATTAAACCAAAAACCCACCAAAGACTATACACTTATCAATGTAACTATTATTCAAACCATACAACTATCCACGCTATTAATCCATATAAACTAACCGATCACATAACATTTCAACAAATTTCATCTTTACAATTATCTGTACTATAAATCAACTTTTGACTAACCAACTATATCACATTCTAGTAACCTCATCTTTACAGTCAGTGGTTATGGTACAGTTAGTAAGTGGTTATAATACAGTTTTAAAGTCACAGATCAGTTAGTAACAGTTATGGTATTATACATATAACATAAAACAGCAATTGTTAGTAATTTTTACACAATGTCAGTGGTTATGGTACATGTCAGTAGTTATGGTACCGTGCGCTATTTTACAGTTATACACACAATTTACACTCCCACTAGACAGCAGAGCTCTAACTTTCTAGTAGGACATACAAGTTAACCAATTCACCAACTACAATATATTTAACAACATTTACAATAATCCCAACTAAACTATTGGCCAGTACCTTGAATAGACTACCTAAAACTATATACACCCGTTTTGGTTAGCCACACTGCCCAAGCACCACATATAGCGAACTAGAGGGCGGAAATTGGCCTTCTAGTCTATTTACTCTATCAAAAGTCTAGTGGGTTCCAAATTTACACGCCTTCCCACTTAGCCAAGATAGGTTGAGAGCTAGCGAACCGAATTTACACAGGCGCCGCTTAGTCTCCCGGTCCCTCCGACCTAGCGAACGTAATATACACCCTAGAACGCTAGTCTAGACAAGACACCGGTGTCCGGCTAGGGCTATTTACACAGGACCCCGCCTGACTAACCAGATCAAACGGTCTTACTAAAGAGCGTTCGATCGAGCGGTGCGCCTTCGCTCCTTCCCTCCGACAGAGGGGGCAGATTCCATACACAGATTTAAACCCCTTTTGGGCCTACCGCACAATCGGTATACCCCTAGTGGGTCTGCCGTCTAAAACAGCAGTTGTCTTACCTCCTCGTTCCTGAACCTGAGTTCACACTCATCGACGGGGACACCCCAGCACTTCTTACGTAGAGGCCGATGATCTCCTGGACAACAGACCAGTGGCGCCGAGACGAAGGGAGGTCCACGCAGAAGTTCAGGGGTGCAGCCGTAGAGAACGTGGGCAAAGATAGACCGTCTCACGCCTCTGCCTCTCAGCTACCGTTGAACGATGAGTTTCCCGGCCAATGCACCAAATGATACCGGAGAAACTGACGGAAGCAAAGCACAGAGAGATGGACACAGGTTTCTTCAGGAAGGAAGAGATTCTTTATTGGATCACCGATCGGGACTCAGAGGGACTAATGTCACCAAAAATACAGCAAGTTCTGAGCCCTGAACAATAGTGCAGGCTCCCTATATAGGCACATAACTCCTCCCATTAATAGCTACACCCACATATACCTTTAACCAATCAATGAGCAGAATATAGACTTGTACATCTAGTCAAACCACATGGCCCATCCAAGACAAAGGAAATAAGTGCAATTTCAGTTCCTGCATTCCTGCACATGCTCAGTACACTGATGACAGTATCCTAGCTACATGTAGCTAACCAACTGACACAACATACACATATGCCACATGGAGATTTTGGCCTACTAAATTTTAACCATGCTGGAATCCCATCACAGTATGTCTGTCTGTCTGTCTGTATGTATGTATGTCTGTCTGTCTGTCTGTCTGTCTGTATGTATGTCTGTCTGTCTGTATGTATGTATGTATGTCTGTCTGGCTGTATGTATGTATGTCTGTCTGGCTGTATGTATGTATGTCTGGCTGCCTGTATGTATATGTATGTCTGTCTGTCTGTCTGTATATGTATGTATGTCTGTCTGTCTGTATGCATGTCTGTCTGTATGTATGCATGTCTGTCTGTATGTATGCATGTCTGTCTGTATGTATGCATGTCTGTCTGTATGCATGTCTGTCTGTATGCATGTCTGTCTGTATGCATGTCTGTCTGTATGCATGTCTGTATGCATGTATGTCTGTCTGTATGTATGTATATGTCTGTATGTATGTCTGTATGCATGTCTGTCTGTCTGTATGCATGTCTGTATATCTGTATGCACGTCTGTCTGTCTGTCTGTCTGTATGCATGTCTGTATATGTATGTCTGTCTGTATGCATGTATGTCTGTCTGTATGCATGTATGTCTGTCTGTATGCATGTATGTCTGTCTGTATGTATGTATGTATATGTATGTCGGTCTGTATGCATGTATGTCTGTATGTATGTCTGTATGTATATGTATGTCTGTCTGTATGTCTGTCTGTCTGTATGTATGTCTGTGTATGTCTGTATGTGTGTATATCTGTCTGTCTGTATGTATATGTATGTCTGTCTGTATGCATGTATGTCTGTCTGTATGCATGTATGTCTATGTATGTCTGTATGTCTGTATGTCTGTGTATGTCTGTATATGTATGTCTGTGTGTATGTCTATGTTTGTCTGTCTGACTGTATGCATGCATGTATGTGTATGTCTGTGGATGTATGTCTGTATGTATGTCTATGTGTATATATATATATATATATATATATATATATATATATATATATATATATATATATATATATATATATGTCTGTATGTCAGTATGAATGTATGCCTGCATTTCATTATGAACGTATGTCTGTGTGTATGTGTGTATGGATGTCTGTTTGCATGTATGTCTGTCAGTATGTCTGTATATATGCATGTATGTCAGTCTGAATGTATGTATGTCTGTATGCCATTATGAATGTATGTGTGTATGGATGACAGTGTCTGTATGTCTGTCAGTATGTCTGTGTGTGTGTATGTATGTCGGTGTCTGTATGTATGTGTCTTTATGTCCTCATGCATGTATGTCTGTCTGTCTGTATGCATGTATGTATGTCTGTCTGTCTGCATGTCTGTGTGTGTCTGTATGTATGTATGTATGTCTGTCTGTAGGCATGCATGTATGTCTATGCATGTATGTCTATGTATGTATGTCTGTGTATGTGTCTGTCTCTGTATGTATGTCTGTCTGCATGCATGTCTGTGTGTATGTGTCTGTATGCATGTATGTCTATGTATGTCTGTCTGTCTGTGTATGTATGTCTGTCTGTATGCATGTATGTCTATGTATGTATGTATGTATGTCTATGTATTTATGTCTGTATGTCTGTATGTATGTCTATGTTTGTCTGTCTGACTGTATGCATGTATGTGTATGTCTGTATGCATGCATGTATGTCTATGGATGTATGTATGTCTGTATGCACGTATGTCTGTCTGTATGTATGTCTATGTATATATATATATATATATGTATGTCTGTATGTCATTATATATGTATGTCTGTATGTCAGTATGAATGTATGCCTGCATATCATTATGAACGTATGTCTGTGTGTATGGATGTCTGTATGCATGTATGTCTGTCAGTATGTCTGTATATATGCATATATGTCAGTCTGAATGTATGTATGTATGTCTGTATGCCATTATGAATGTATGTCTGTTAATGTCTATATGCCATTATGAATGTATGTGTGTATGGATGACAGTGTCTGTATGTCTGTCAGTATGTCTGTGTGTGTGTATGTATGTATGTATGTGTCTTTATGTCCTCATGCATGTGTGTCTGCATGTATGTGTGTCTGCATGTATGTTAGTATGTGTCTGTCTGTCACTATGTATGCCTGTGTGTATGTCTCAGTATGTATGCCTGTATGCATGTCTGTTTCAGTATGTGTGTCTGTTAGTATGTATCTCTGTCTTTTTGTATCAGTGTGTGTGTTTGTGTCTGTATGTGTATTCCTGTGGGCTGTATTTGGAGGCGGACCCAGTGGGCGGTATTTGGAGGAGGGCCCAGGGGGCCCAGACCCTGAGCTGAGTTAGGGGCCCCAAAATTTCTGGTGGCGGCCCTGGCCATAGCCATGCTGTACATAGTGGGTGAGTTTTGTGCGCCCTGTGGCAATACTGTCTAAGTGTACTGCTTGTGTTTATGTGTAAATGCAAATAAAAACTGACTGTCGGGAGCCAGGGGGACACTGAAAATGCATTTGCCAAGTCAATAACAGTAAATACCTTAGAGGAAGGTGGTATTTGTGCCAACAAGGTGTGTGGGTTGGGAACATTAGGGGCAATGAGTTCAGTTACAGCATTAATTGCCCTCAAATCATGTACCATAAGGTAGACCACAGGTTTACCTTTCTCTTGCTTTTCTTAATTGGGTACAATGGTGTGTTACAAGGGGAGATGGTCTGGACAATTACCCCTGCCTGCAGAAACTCTTGCACAGATTGGGAAATAGCATCTTCCTGTGCTGGGCTTAGGGGGTATTGTTTTTGATAGGGAGGTTTGGGACTATTCGGTCCCCAGGCAGTGTAACATTGATAATGGGTGAGGGTCCTGCAGAGTCAGGGATATTGATGATATGTAGGGACACTGGTTTGCCAATTTCCTATTGGGGGGGAGGTGGTGGTGGTGGTTAGCTGTCATGTGAGTTATCATTAGAATCCTGGGGTTTTCTATTTTTAGGAGGACACTTGCAGTTACGTTTAATGTGTCCTTTCCTGCCACAATTCCAGCAGTCTACCTGCCTTCTGTCTCCACCAGCTCTAGGGACAGTTACAGCCATTAGAGGTGTGCTCCTCTTTCTAGTATTTAGATTAGCTTCCACTCCCCTCGCCACCTTCACCACATAACCATAAGTTAAACTTCTTCACTCAGGTCTAGAATTTTGGAGACCAGTCCTTATGGGTATGTGGATACCATCCATGAAGCAGTTAATAAGCAGTCTGTTGGATGTGGTTACAACATCAGTGTAACCCAATGCCTCCCAAGCCATTTGTAGTCTGGTGAAGAATGTTTCTACAGATTAATATTTCCATTGTAGTATATCTCCTAATTTATGGGCTAGTTCCTCTGTCTTTACCTTAGCCCATTCTCTCATTGCAGTGACATAGCATGCTCCAGATGCAGACTTGGTTCTAAACCATTCATCTGTTTGCATGTTGCTTTTTCTGAGGTTATCTTCATGGGCATCTGTATATTTAGCAATTATTCTAGCCCAAATGGGGCCAGCTTTCTTAAGTAACCTCTTAACATTCTTAATTGCTCCTTGTCCTTTGTGATGCTTGACAATAGTCAAAGCCGTAAATCCCCCTTGGGTACTTTCAGAGCTACCCATCTTAAAACTTGTAAGGGTTAATTACTTCCTTACACAAGACAAAATGTACAAAAACAGTGTATTTAAACACTTAGGACTATTGCAGTGGAATTTTCACAGTTTTGTCTTCTAAACACAGATCAGGAGATCTGCCCTTGGAGGATTCTAACTCAATTATAAAACAAATGACAAGGCAAACAATAAAAATAACTTATAACCCACAGATATATTCCACTATCTGAAGATTCCTTTCACAAGACATAACACAACCTCCACCTGAATATAACAATAATACCACAGAAAACAAGTTCTTTAGATCAGAAGTTTTAAAGTTGTTCTTTACCCAGACAGACTAGTAGGACGTGGATCTGAGTGCGAAATTGATCAAGGTAGAAAAAAAGTTTTTCTTACCTTCCTGTACAGCTGATTTCACTGTCAGAGGGACGTCCACCTGTACGCTAGTGTCCGAGTCTCTCGACCGTCAGATCCCGGGTTTCGGCACCAAATTGTTGTGGATCAGAAATGTTGATCTTTGTTATATTCAGAGGAAGCCCAAATTGTTGTTACAAGTGCACTTGGAGAAGCGAGAATTAGACACCAGACACCTGTTGGTATTCAAAATAAGCCTCTGACGTTTTATTCATCAGCTGAGTTTTATACATTAAAAAGTAAGTGCTTACGTGCAAATACTCTTAGAACAGTAATAGGAAGAGAATACAGATAAGACATAGGGATGAGCGTCATGTACCCATAACAAATAAGTTTCAAGGTATGAGAGAACAAAATGATTAGAGCAGAGACATCTTAGGTGGGGGCTCTCTGCTCTCGGAACTTAGACATATATATAAGTGTTGTTTAAGCATCAAGCATTTCCTGAGTCCAAGTTAGCCAATTTTAATATAGGATATCATTATATGACACCTATAAGCTTGAGCCTTGGAATCAATATAAATTCTATCACATGCCCACCTAAATCTAGATATGGATCTTTTTGGGACATCAAAGTAGAGTTCAAGTTCCTAGAGGAATGGCCCTCTAACACGGAACTGTCATTAAAACAATTGTCGGCTAAATTACTTATGCTGTTCTGCCTACTATCCTGTAAGTGAGTGTCAGGCGTGAGTGCTTTGGACTGGCAGGCCTGTATGTTTACTGTGGTGGAACCAACCTCGCCACTATGCACTGGAGAAGCCTGGTTGCCTGCTGCCTTTAGACTATGGCCCCATGTTGAAACGCTTGATTTTCCCCTGCGAAGACACGAAAGCCGGGTCATTCGGTGCTTGCCCTGTTTGAGCGGTGATACCCCAGATAGCTATGCCATTGCAATTGAACAGTATGTGTGTGCTCTGAGCGCCATTCAGTAATAATGTGCACTCAGATCTGAGCTATCTGGGGATATGTTGAATGTACCTGTTTTGTGCAATGGCTGCACAGTTATATATTTTTATGTATTTTATTGTCTTTTGCTACCATGTGTTCAATGGAGTTTTGCCTCTGTCCTTGGAGATAATTGGATTACTTCCCAATTATCTCCAGGATAGAAGACTCTGTGGAACTGGTTTTGGGCAGAAAAGCCATGCTTCATTTGGTCACAAAGGACTTCGATCTATCTTTTGAACCAATAGGCTGGAAGAAAGGAGATTTCATCTAAGGCAAAGAAAAGTTTTTTTTTTACAGTAAGAGCAATAAGGATATGGAATTCTCTGCCTGAAGAGGTGGTTTTGTCAGAGCCTATACAGATGTTTAAATGGCAATTGGATAAATATTTGCAAAAACATAACATACAGGGATATAATTTCTAATTAGTGGGGTAATAGCTGCTTGATCCAAGGAGACATCTGACTACTATTTTGGGGTCAAGAAGGAATTGTTTCCTAGTTTGTGGCAAAATTGGAAGCGCTTCAGACCAGGTTTTTTGCCTTCTTTTGGATCAACAGCAAAAACATATGTGAGGAAGGCTGAACTTGATGGACGCAGGTCTCTTTTCAGCTATGTAATATGTTGCAACCACGTGACAACCAAGATATTACCATATTTCTCCTCTCATTTTAGCCTGAATACTCCTATTGAAGTGTTGAAGTTTTGGAATACAGTTCTACAGTTTACCCATAAAGAATAGGATACTATCCGAGGTTCCAGTTCCGGTTCAAGGGGGGCCCACAGATCAGTTTCGCACCGGGACCCCATATATTGTGTGTACGGCGCTGTATGGCAGTCTCTGTATTGTACTCAGCTCTGTGTATTGTGCCCAGCTCTGTGTATTGTATGGCAGTCTCTGTATTGTACCCAGCTCTGTGTATTGTATGGCAGTCTCGGTATTGTATCCAGCTCTGTGTATTGTATGGCAGGCTCAGGCCCTGGGGAGTCAGCCCAGCTGAGGAAAGGGATTTAGGGGTGATTATTTCTGATGACTTAAAGGTAGGCAGACAATGTAATAGAGCAGCAGGAAATGCTAGCAGAATGCTTGGTTGTATAGGGAGAGGTATTAGCAGTAGAAAGAGGGAAGTGCTCATGCCATTGTACAGAACACTGGTGAGACCTCACTTGGAGTATTGTACACAGTACTGGAGACCGTATCTTCAGAAGGATATTGATACCTTAGAGAGGGTTCAGAGAAGGGCTACTAAACTGGTTCATGGATTGCGGGATAAAACTTACCAGGAAAGGTTAAAGGATCTTAAAATGTATAGCTTGGAGGAAAGACGAGACAGGGGGGATATGATAGAAACATTTAAATATAT